TGGTATTTATCCCTCTAATATATTTTAAAAGTGCAATCATGTCCCCCCTCAGCCTTCTTTTGGTTAAAGTAAACAAGCCAAGCTCCTTGAGTCTCCTTTCATAAGACAGGTTTTCCATTCCTCGGATCATCCTAGTGGCCCTTCTTTGTACCTGTTCCAGTTTGAATTCATCCTTCTTAAACATGGGAGACCAGAACTGCACACAGTATTCCAAATGGGGTCTCACCAATGCCTTGTATAATGGAACTAACACCTCCTTATCCCTGCTGGAAATACCTCGCCTAATACATCCCAAGACCGTATTAGCCTTTTTCACGGCCATGTCGCAATAGCGGCTCATAGTCATCCTATAATCAGCAAGAACTCCGAGGTCTTTCTCCTCCTCCGTTACTTCCAACTGATGTGTCCCTAGCTTATAACTAAAATTCTTGTTATTAATCCCTAAATGCATAACCTTACACTTCTCACTATTAAATTTCATCCTATTGCTATCACTCCAATTTACATGATCATCCAGATCTTCCTGTATGATATCCCGATCCTTTTCTGAATTGGCAATAGCTCCCAACTTTGTGTCATCTGCAAATTTTATTAGGACACTTCCACTTTTGGTGCCAAGATCAGCGATAAAAAGATTAAATAAAATTGGCCCCAAAACTGATCCCTGAGGAACTCCGCTAGTAACCTTCCTCCAACCTGACAGTTCACCTTTCAGTATGACCTGCTGTAGTCTCCCCTTTAACCAGTTGCTTATCCACCTCTCAACTTTCATATTATTCCCTATCTTTTCCAATTTAACCAATAATTCCCCATGTGGTACTGTATCAAATGCCTTACTGAAATCGAGATAGATTAGATCCACTGCATTTTCTTTATCTAAAAAATCTGTTACTTTCTCAAAAAAGGAGATCAGGTTGGTTTGGCACGATCTACCTTTTGTAAAACCATGTTGTAATTTGTCCCAATTGCCATTAGCCTCAATGTCTCTAACTACTTTCTCCTTCAAAATTTTTTCCAGGATCTTACATACTACAGATGTCAAACTAACAGGCCTATAGTTACCCGGGTCGCTTTTTTTCCCTTTCTTAAAAATCGGAACTATATTAGCAATTCTCCAGTCAAATGGTACAGCCCCTGAGTTTAGAGATTTATTAAAAATGTTTGCTAATGGACTTGCAAGTTCATGTGCCAGTTCCTTTAATATTCTTGGATGAAGATTATCTGGGCCCCCCGATTTACTCTCATTAAGCTGTTCAAGTTTGGCTTTTACCTCGGATATGGTAATATCTACCTCCATATCTTTAGTCCCATTTGTTAAGTTACCATTATCCCTAAGCTCTTCATTAGCCTCATTAAAGACTGAAGCAAAGTATTTGTTTAGATATTGGGCCATTCCTAGATTATTCTTAACCTCCACTCCATCCTTAGTAATTAGTGGTCCTACTTCTTCTTTTTTTGTTTTTTTTCCTATTTATATGGCTATAAAACCTTTTACTATTGGTTTTAATTCCCTTTGCAAGGTCCAACTCTACCTGAATTTTAGCCTCTCTCACTTTATCCCTACATGCTCTAACCTCAATAAGGTAGCTTTCTTTACTGATCCCTCCCATTTTCCACTCCTTATATGTTTCTGCTTTTTCTTAATCACCTCTCTGAGATGCTTGCTCATGCAGCTTGGTCTAACACACCTGCCTATACATTTTTTCCCTTTTCCTGGGATACAGGCTTCTGACAGCTTCTGCAACTTTAACTTAAAATAATTCTAGGCCTCCTCCACTTTAAGATCCATAATTTCTTTAGTCCAATCAACTTCCCTAACTAATTTCCTTAATTTACTAAAGTTAGCCCTTTTGAAATCAAAAACCCTAGTCTCAGATTTATTTTTGTTTATCCTTCCATTTAATTTGAACTGAATTAGCTCATGATCACTCGAGCCAAGGTTGTCTCCTACAACCATTTCATCTATGAGGTCCTTGCTACTCACCAAAACCAAATCTAAAATAGCACCCTCCCCCTTGTTGGTGCAGCAACTACTTGATGAAGGAATTCATCAGCTATCACATCTAGGAAAATCTGAGCCCTATTATTATTATTACCAGTATTTGTTCTCCAGTCTATATCTGGAAAGTTGAAATCTCCCATGATTACGCAGTTTCCATGAGTATTTACTTCATTAAAAACATTAAAGAGGTCTCTATCCATATCCAAATTGGATCCTGGTGGTCTATAACACACCCCAAGCACTATCCCAGGGGAGGATCTGATAGTTTTCTTTCCCAATGTGATTTTTGCCCAAACAGACTCTGTCTTCTCCATTCTATCACTTTTTATTTCTTTACAATCTACCTCATCTTTGATATACAATGCGACTCCACCAGCTTTACCCTTATTTCTGTCTTTCCTAAAGAGCACATACCCTTCAATACCTGTACTCCAGTCATGCCTAGTATTCCACCATGTTTCTGTTATTCCTATAATATCTGGTTTCACTTCCTGGACCAATAGCTCTAGTTCCTCTTTTTTGTTACCTAGGCTCCTCGCGTTGGTGTACAAACATCTTAATTTTTGCTCTTTGGCCTCATTGACATTCTTTACCCAATTTGGCCCGGACATTGTACCTCCAATATGACCTGTTAGACTAGTATCCATCCTACCCTTCCTCATGTACCTTCTCCTACCCCCAGCTATATCCTTTCTTACTTCGTTTTCCTCCCTCTCAGTGTTAAAATCCGGCGTAGAGATTACCTGGACATCTCCCAACCGTCTCCCCCTTTTGCGCAGCTGCTTTTGCGCAAAATCTTGCCAGTCTAGACGCAGCCTCAGAGATTAGAGCTCTATTACAAGAGTGCTTGAGTGAGGTTCTATGGCCTGCAATGTGCAGGTCGTCAGACTAAGTGATCATGCTGGTCCCTTTCTGGCTTTAAAGTACAAATCTGAAATTGGGCTGGTAGCTGTGCAATGCACCAAGTTGACCTCCAAGAAATGAATGGAGGGCACAATTTACCCCCTAACAACCAGATGGCATAATTTTCATTGTAATTGAAAACAACTGCTAATTGGAGCAAGGGACCTAAGATCTTACAAGTTGTGCCATTACCCGTATTCCAAGCCATTCAGAAAGGCGTTCGTTCTTATTTTCAAAAGCTGAGTGTTCATATTTTTAAAATATCTGAATACAAGTTTGCTGCACAGAATTCAGTAATTACTAGAGATGTAAGTGTGTCCCCATTTTAACAATTAACTAATGAACCCAGGTTCATCGGTTAATCCTACAGTTACATGCGGACTTTCTCCTCCTCCCTACCCCCACTGCCTCTCTACCAGCTTTTAAGCCACCTCTCTGTGTGGCAGCTCCTGCAAAGTCACTCCCTCCCCCACTCCGCCTCCCCACTGCCTCTGATGGAGGGGAGGGAGGGGGAGGAGAGAGAAGCAGGCCTGGCTCTAAAGTTATGCCATTACACATTTACAAAATTCAACCATTTTAACATCCCTATTAGTTACCACTTCTAAATTGCTTTCCTCTCAATCTGTCTGAGTATAATATTCCATCAACCACAGTGTCAGAGACTGCTGCTTACATTAGAGCTGGAGTTCATGGCTTTTAATTCGCTAGGCTTTAGTTTTTCTGCATTCCTTTCCTCTTCTTCAGGGAAAGTATCTTTCCATAGCGAGTCACGAAAACGTTTATCCACAGACACAATGTGCCCCTCAGTAGTAAACATATATTTATTTCCAGATTTGTGGACAGGATTCTCTTCATCAAACAACTAAATAAGAGGCAGGGAAAAGAGATACAGCATGAGGGTATTCCTCTAACGAAATCCATGTTTATTATAACATTCATCAGATGCATGTGGAATAATTGAACACGACACCAATAAAGCTTTTCTGATCTTTTTTGATCAATGGCACAGATTTCCATTAGAGTAAAAGGAAACTTTTTATTGTATTTTATTTTATCTTTTTTTTGGGGGGGGGGAGGGGGAGTATTTGTAATTCTAAAAGGACAGAAAAATTGGTGGTAGCTAGAGCTGAATACTTAAAGCATTTATCAGAGTTTTACTGTACATCCGGAGTGCCGGACCATCAGAGTTTTACTGTACATCCGGAGTGCCGGACCATCAGAGTTTTACTGTACATCCGGAGTGCCGGACCATCAGAGTTTTACTGTACATCCGGAGTGCCGGACCATCAGAGTTTTACTGTACATCCGGAGTGCCGGACCATCAGAGTTTTACTGTACATCCGGAGTGCCGGACCATCAGAGTTTTACTGTACATCCGGAGTGCCGGACCATCAGAGTTTTACTGTACATCCGGAGTGCCGGACCATCAGAGTTTTACTGTACATCCGGAGTGCCGGACCATCAGAGTTTTACTGTACATCCGGAGTGCCGGACCATCAGAGTTTTACTGTACATCCGGAGTGCCGGACCATCAGAGTTTTACTGTACATCCGGAGTGCCGGACCATCAGAGTTTTACTGTACATCCGGAGTGCCGGACCATCAGAGTTTTACTGTACATCCGGAGTGCCGGACCATCAGAGTTTTACTGTACATCCGGAGTGCCGGACCATCAGAGTTTTACTGTACATCCGGAGTGCCGGACCATCAGAGTTTTACTGTACATCCGGAGTGCCGGACCATCAGAGTTTTACTGTACATCCGGAGTGCCGGACCATCAGAGTTTTACTGTACATCCGGAGTGCCGGACCATCAGAGTTTTACTGTACATCCGGAGTGCCGGACCATCAGAGTTTTACTGTAAGCACTTATTTAGAAGTGTCAGACTAAACGTATTTTTCTGAGGAATTCAAAAGTTTAGCAGATGAATCACTATGACAACCAGCCTCTCTCTTTCCACCCTGCCCTGTGCAATTTGTGTGTCTACACATTCTAAGAACAGGTTAGACAAGTGGTCACTAACCAGTAGACCGGGATCTACTGGTAGATCCTGGAGCCTCTGAAAAGTGATCCTGACTTGTTTAGCCAGGAGGCTATCAAATGCTGGCACTTCACCTGCCCCTGCCCCCCACTACCATGCTACTTCTGCCCTCTGTCTTGGAACTGCAAAATCAGTCAGGGGCCACACAAGTGAGAAGGAAAAAGAGAAAAAACTCATTGATGTGGCCCCCAGCTGAGGACAAAGACACTCCCCACATTCTCCTCACATGCCAGAGCCTGGGGGGGCCCAGGCTTGTGTGCTCTGGCCCCATGGTGGGGCAACAGCAGGGCTGGAGTGTCAGTGCAGACTCCCCAGTGCTTGGGGAGGAGGGGGGGGGGGGTCCTGGGCCTGAATCCAGGCAAACCAGGGTTAGTTTTCCTGCCGCTCTCAGGGTGGATGGGACTTTAGCCCACCGCCCTATCCTCTGCAGGCAAATGCCCTATCCCCTAGTCCACTCCAGAAGCCACCTCACCACCTTAACTTCAGGGGGTCCCTTATCCCGCCTCCCAAATGCGACAGCTAGCTCAATCCTGCTTTCCAGGTGCAGGAGCCAAGCTCCATCCCTGGGGCAGCCTGTGTTGGGGCTGAAGTTCCCCACCCCTGTCTTAAGGGTTCTTCGAGCCCTACATTTCTATAATTATTATTGTTACTTGCCTGCAGTCCCTGCCAGGAAGTTTCTTCCTTGTAATATGAAGTTTGCAAGTTTTTCTGATGACAGTGAGACACAAAAATACATACCAGATATAAATATTTACATGTTTCACTGAGAAAGAAGCTTTCCATCCGGTCCTCTTTTGACTTCTCTATGACATGATGCAACGTAGCATAGCCACATCTAAAATTAAAATTTGTTTTATATTTATTTCTATCATATTTGATATTTAAGTACACACATTCCCAACTTCACTCAGTCCAAATGCCAAACATGGGATGAAATTAAAATTTAAAAAAATGAGACATCCCACACTTTAAAAAGACACATTTACCACTACTGTTATTTGTGAACTAGGAGAAATTTTGTTAAACTACCCCATAAAACCTGTAATGAGATAATCAAAGCACAAATACTTGGAGGAAATTGCTAGCTTGGTCACCAAATGGCAATACAGAGACTTGATATAGATTAACTTCTCTAGTAAACCGAGGAAGACTGCCAACATCATCAGGATGCATCTACACTGCAGCATAGGTTGAAATAAGATATGCAATTTGACCTATGCAAATTGCATATCTTATTTCGAGGTTATTTTGAAATCGCTTATTTCAAAATCTGGCACAGTCTTCACGACACTTATTTTGAAATAAATCACTATTCCAAAACATCCCTTATTCCTCGCGGATGATGAAATAACGAGCCAGTTATATTTCAAAATATATTTCTGGTATCCCAAAATAGTGCTGCAGTGTAGATGAAGCCTCAGAGACAGTCTCTTGGTCTTCCTTATAACCACAACTTGGGGCATCATTAGAAATATATAAGGTAAGTTATTATCCAGTCTACTACTCTAGGTGCAGTTATATTTCACAAGCTTTGAACAATTATTACTTTTGAAAAGTAATAAATTATGAATCAAAAACACAGAAGTGAAAGATAATTCAGGCTCAGTGTACAATGCTTTTCACAGGGTTTTATCTGGAATCACTGTATTTTAAATATGGTTTTAGACCTATTACTTGAAGTTTCTCGTACGAGTCCTGCAATATTAGGTACCAAATAAAATAGGAGCAGCCCATACGCTAACATCAACATTACCATTAACAGGTTCCTTTTGTTTTGAGACTACTTTCTTGTCCAACCATGATACCAGGTAACAGAACCTTTAAATTTTGATTTAAGTCCAAACTTAAATTAGAGATGAGTCTGAAGTTAAGAATATTCCTCTTAACAGAATTTATGCAAGTCAGTTTCCTCCCTTTGCCAAAAACTGAACCAATTCTCAGAAAAGGCATATAAAGATACAAAGGACACATTACTAAAAGGATCTTTTGTTGCAAAATATTACTTACTACTACTTCTACCACCACCACTACAACACCACCACCACCACACAATTTCCTCCTACTTGAGGATGCAGATTTCTACCTGAAAACTGGCACCACATCTACATTAACACAAATAACAAACCATCCCAATTTACTATTTCTAAATATAGTTAGGGAAGAGAATGGTTAAACAGTTAGCATTACCCTTACTGGGACATGCTTACCAGTTACAGATAACTAGCAGCCTGGCCAGGCCCCACATGCAACGGGTGGCTCTCCCCATCAACCCACAGTGCAGTGGGCCCGGCCCAGCCAAGCCAGAGAAGTCCCTGCCTGGCTGAAGCGGTTACCCTGCCTGCCTCCGTTTAAGCAGTAACTGGTTAAACATAATATTTAGCCAGGTAACTGATTAAATGGGATTTTACATCCCTAAATATAACTTGAATACTCTGTACATTGACA